TGGAAAAACTATTATAAAACTAAAAGTACACAATATGCTAAAATACACCCCACGGTTTACTCCAGGCCATGGTATGACAAAAATTCTGCATTAAATCGTTGGGAATGTACCGAGATAGCTAGATTGAAGTTTGGGCATGGGAGCTACCCAGCTCATTTGCATAAAATTAATTTAAAACCTACGTCGCAATGTTCATGTGGATACGAAATTGGAGATTTGAACCACATATTTTTTGCATGTCCCAATAACACTATAGCTACGAAAACATTACTAAATGAATTACAATCGCATGGCGTGTCTTTTCCCATAGAACTAATCTCCCTCCTGGCACTTGATAAAGAGCCAATATGTAGAAGCTTACTGAACTTTTTAAAGAATAGTAAATTAAGAATTTAAAAATATATACTTCGCGTCCGTTTGTGACCATCCATTGTTTGCCCTCCTATGCAACCGAGGTCTGAGTCTGTGTTTTGTGTCTTGAAAGAAGTCATTGTGAGGGACACCACAATGTGAAATTTTGTGCCCCTGTTTACTCATATTCCTGAAATCCCATCTTATTCGCGATAAAATAAACATTCAAACCAATCAGATAATAAGGCCCATGGGCTAGATCCCGAATAGCCTTAATTAAATTAAAAAAAAAAAATCATATTCTAGTACGAAACATCTACGGTTCAATTTAGACAAAGTAACACAGAAAATGATAAATTGCATGTACATCAAAATGGTATGCGACTCTACTCTACTCCAGCATCGGCTGCTTAATAATGGGGAATTTTTGTTTGAATAATCGCTTTGTTTATTGTCTTTGTAAATATTTGGAAATAATGTTTTGTAGAAATTGGTGTATTAGTTTATCTCCGGTCCGTGAGATAAGGTTTTGTTATCGCTGCGTAACCTAATTAAATTTTGAAGATAAGCGCGTGTTATCGCCGAAGTAGCACAGAGGTCTTTAATTTATTCGAAGACGCCCATGAATTTTGATAAAGAAGTAGATGCGGAAGGTGACAGAAGAAAAAAATGTTTTAAATAACAGAGACGAACGTAAACCCAGGTTTTTTTGTGGTAGACGTTAATCGTTTTTTAAAGTGAGTGTTTAAGTAGAATTAAAGAAAGAAGTGAAGTTTACCAAGAAATACCTAGCAAAGTATTCTAGGATTAGGGTGCGAATTGTCCGGGAGCGAATTATCCTGGCGCGATTTGCTCTGGGCAAGTGCTTGTGGGGGGTTGGTGACCGTTTGCCATCGCATATAGATGAGCTGCAGTCCGCACAAGATAGGCATAACAACATGTACGTACAGTATAACAAACAAACATGTTTCAGTGCCATGCTTCAATAAAGAAATAGCATTCAACACTCAATTCTGCTTCTTCATAAGTTGAATATGGTTAAATTAGATACTTCCAGTAGAAGTAAGAGTTCATATTAAGTAATTGTACATCACATGTCGATGTGAACGCGTGGATAAAAGGTGTTAACCACTCGTGCGAGTGTGACGATTTTTCTTGCTTTTTTTAATAGAGCATTCTATAAATTTGCTGTGACAGGTACGAGGTATGAATCTATCATCCGCAGTTGTTGAACCGTTGACGTCAATGATTAATGTTTTAAATACAATGATTGTGTGCGCTGGTTTCAGAATAACAGAATGACACTTTCCAAAAAGTAGACTAATGATAAAATTCTTATTTTGCAAATGCGCACCATTTCTGCAACAAGACCATTTATAAGATTTTTTTTAAAACAACCTGCAGGTCTCAAAACGCTACCTACCAAAATGGTTTATATGCGTCACGATCAAGATTTATTTATTTAGCACATCGGAATAATTAAAAGTCAATAAAAAAGAATCTGATAATCTGTATGAAGGGACATTAAACGACGCACACGAATCTTCCGTTATTATACCAACTACATGAAATTCTGGAACCGGTCTTCACTTGGTCACTGGAGTAGCCGCTATGTCTGAGAAGAATTGCACATCCCTATTTGGTATCTACACTAGATCCAAGCATACGCAATCCATTGCAAAAGCAAAGATTCTTCTACAAAATTCCTCTTGGTATTACATAATTGTTTTGCATATGAAGTAAGAAAGGATTTTTACGACAGACTTTACTGTTAACGTACTTAAATGCTGAATTTATGTTTAAAGTCGTTTATGTTATGGATTTGTACCATTACCTGAGGAATAAATTAAGATGAGGTTTAAGTATGTGTATAGTTCTTATTGATCGTTAATAAAACGTATTAAGTTAGTCTAGTTTAAGGATCCAAGTGTATAATCATCTCTTACCACATTTTAGACATTCTACCAAGTTGCAAATTTAGATCGACGACAGTTAAATCTATATAAAAACACTTTCCTGTTACGTATACTACCTGATAGAAATCGCAAATTAATTTACAAGTTACAAATATTGAAATCCACAAGAAAAAATGCTGTAATTTAAATGGAATGTATACGTACTAGTTTCAAGGATTTTTCGTGATATCCTTTCCGTCCGCCAATGCATCTGGAACGTCAAATAAATTTTTGTCAATGCAATATTTCATTGGTAATTATAATTACTTACCTTACCCTTACCCATATAAGTGAAAAGTTGCAAAGGAAACCTGTTTTTCCAATACTCCCTGAAAAATGTTAAAACAGTATAGATAGCCGCAGAACAGTGGAAAAGGATTGCTGCAGAAACGTGTGGAATTCTTGGGTCCTATGTGTTGGATAAATTCGCTCTTGGTCTGCCTTGGGAAAGCAAAACAAAGCAAGATTAATCCATTGGATTCTTGAACCGAATTCCCATCGAAAAAAATATGTTAGTGTATTCTGTTAAGAAACCTTGCTAAGAAAGTGGGAATAACTGCATCTTTTAGGGACGGATAAACGAGCCATCTAGGTAATTACATAGAGTAAATACTCTATGGTAATTATAAGCCAAAAGTGTGTACAACATACACAGTAAATCATCTCGAAAGATGTTTGTCTTTCGCCACGGGAATGCTTATTACCAGCAGAGACAAGAATCTTATATGTTCCCGAGCGATTTACGACTCACATATTAACGGTGTTCAAAATAAGGATAAATCTATCATAGGGAGCTCTGAAACCATAGAAGATACGACGGTGGTTGTAGAGTTCAAAATGTAACATTAAAAAAACAATAAAAACGAAATCGGCAAATTTCGGTTTTTCATATATATCTTCGGAAGTAATCAGAATTTTCTGGTTTTCTTTAAAGCATAATAAGAACTCTTTAATTGCGCATTTTTTCTTTAATTTGACCAACGTTGTCACTTCTATGGTTTCGGAGATCCCTATGATACACATCCTTATTTTGGACACAGTGTAGAAGAAATACAATAGACAAATACGATGGTATACTTAATTCGGCAAAAATAAAAATCAGATACAACTGAATACCGAACGGTCCTCGAGATCTTCACACATACATCATTTTTCCAATCCACCTTAAAGGAGTTCTGTCTCACTAGATCAGCATAGTTTGTAAAAAAAATTTTTGAATCAGGTCACCAAAAAGCCTACTCCTAACTGAAATCAAAAATATTCCTGCGGCCAGATAATTATACCTACCTTAGTAAACAATATAACGATTATTTGTAAGCAAACAAATCCAAACAATTAACGTTCATTAGCGAGTTTGCGGATGTACATTTTACGTTACAAAACTTGTCGTTATATCTTAACGTAAAAAAGCTTAAGAATTATACCATAAAGACACTATTATACCTTATGTTTACAAATAACGTAAACCAATCAAATTCCAGCAACAATAAATTTATCCGCGTTTCACTAAATTTCCATTACGTTATATCATAAGAAAAAATGGCCGTCTAACGTAACGGAAAATACGTGTCCGCAAACTCGCTATTATAACTAACAAAACTATATGTGATCTAAATCAGGAAAAGTCACCAAATGGTTATGATTCTCGTACTGATTATCCAAACTTTATTTATTTACATTTAAAGTATTATTCATCACTCACATATACACAATTTATAACAGCGCGAACTATTTATTACTTCATTGTTGAAATTGTAACTGTCCTGGTTTGCAATTCCATTTGCCTATACAAGGTGTTACATATAAGTATGTAAAAATTGAGTGGTAGAGGGGATCAAAACAAGCACTTTTTGTAAATAAACCGAGGGTCCAACGTGTTTCGTTTAAGTATTATCCACAAAGAAGTGGTGAAATTTGCATTTCTTCTTTAATTTTTCTCTCAGCGACCATGGGTTAGAAAGCACGTCTTTTAATAGGTTTTGCGATATGCCCTTTCCGATTTTTCAAAAAAATGTTTAAAATTCCTACCGCGAAATGGCGCACCCCGAAATAGGCGTGCGAAAAAAAGTTCTGATTTCGACGAAATTTAGTATCTGGAGGTTTTTGAACATGAAAATCACGAATCTGAAATTACTTTTTGAAAATTCGAAAAAAAAATTCAACTGCAATTCTCTCTGCAGCAGTGGTAAAGAGAACCATTCTGAAAGATTGTTAAATCTAAGTACCTACAGCTACCGGAGCGTGTGAATAAATTTATTTCCTCATGATTTCAATGTTCCTAATCAAATCAAAATTGTGGACAAGGTCATTAATTAGGGAAATGCAAATAGCAATAAACGGAATGCATAATAAAATGTGTTATATTACATAAAATAAAATGTTAAGGACCAGTTCGCAAAAAAGCTCACTGCGAAATTAATGTAATCAATAACTTGTTAGCATATCATTAAAGACATTCGATCTACATCTGACAAAATGTTAGAAACCTAATTTGCACGTGTAACGGAATGAGACAGCTTATGCCCTTTGGGTAACATTAGGTAATACCCGCAACCTCAAACGATATCGGAACCAGAATTTTTACAATTTTTTGCAATCGCCTGATTAGTGAAATTGGTACGTGACCCCCGCTGCGTGGGGTGGCGCACATTGCTCGTATTTTGCGAAGTCGCGGTCACTGGAGTAGAGAGTAAGTGCATGCCCCCTTCATGTTATGGTCAGTCAACAAGTGCACGCACTTGATCTTCATTCTTAATAACAACACAATAATGAATCGTGAATGTGCAAAAAAACTTACCTCATAACAACTTACGCCGTAATTATGCTGGAGCTTTTCGGATTGTGTTACACGAATTTTTTTGGAAATACACATTTTTGTGAGGAGTGCCATTCTTGATGTATTCGAATTTCAATTCTGTGGTAAGAGGCTTTATTATTAGATTTTCGTCTCATCTTGCATGAGGAAACCAGTCGTATTACCAATAATTAAATTGCAATTAGCGTTTTATATGATGAGAATCCTACGTTGTTAAATAAATTTTTCAATTTTCCATTACCATCTGGCACCAAATTTTAACCCAAATACTTGCACTCGCTCCAATTAAGAATTTTAAGTGCATTCAATGCATTAATATGCAATGACCGTCCAAACTTCCGCATTTTCAATTTAAAGGTAATACGCAAGGACAGTTACTTCGGTAAATCTGTAGGTACACCACCACAAAATAAATGGAAAAATCTTTTTTTTTTTTAAATTTAAGTACGTAACTTTTGGTATCTTTAAAATACAAAGGACCTCCAGCAAGAAATTTACTTATTACGAATTTGTGGCTCTCAAAAATTAATCGCCGATGTTATGGCATGTTCTCTTGTACTGTTTTAGTTTAAAATGGTCTGAAATCCTAAGGGAGTGCCTGACCTAAGTGGATAATTTAAGTATGTTCTTATTATTCTTTTCCTTCAATTAAAACCGTTGGAGAGTATTTTACATATTAGCATGACAGCTAGCCTGTAATTCTTCTGGAACCTGTAAAACTGTTATCTTATGTATAAAGTATAATACTTAAGATTTGCGTTTAAAAAAATCATACATACAGATTAATCCTAATCCAAATCAAATCTCTAACGTTATAAATAACGCAATATTTTTGCAGTTTGTCAAATATTGGTCAAATTTAAATTTCGGTTTATAAAATAAATGCGCCGAATGTATTTACTATAGAAAGTGTAAGTAGGTAGGTATATAGCTGCGTGTTCGATAGACGAATCAGAAAAATTAGGGAAAATTGAAGATTATAAGTATACCTATATAGGAAATTAATTTGAATAATGTGACTACATACTAACTTATAAAGGTGTTAATGCGACATTTTGCTTGATTATTTTTAGTATTAGTATAAATGTTTTAACAAAAATCCAACAACCAGTCGATAGTTATTTTGAGGGAGGGCGCAACTTTAATGCAAAAATAATTTTTGCATCTTTAACGTTGTGTTTAAGATTGCAACCCCCACACATTTTTAAATCTATCTCACCTACCACGATAATTGAGGTTATAAATAAGGTTTTATGAAAGGTTGGATATAACAAAAAACTGATTTTATTGGTTCCATGTTGAACTATTTTCAGGATTTATTTTGTGGCAAATGAAGTTGTACTCATTTCATTGAATTTAAGTATATTACCTACCTACTTTGTGTTTTAACTTTAGTCATTAAGGCATTAAGCCTTTTAAATGTTTCCATGGCATCATTTTCTTTTATTTTTTGGGCGATGATGAACACTTTTACCCACTAAAACCCAAAAGTGTCGTATTGAACTATTTTGTCATAGAACTAATTTTTGTTGCTCATAGGAAGCTTAGTGACCTATACAAGAGTAAGAATCCTATGATATCCTAGGTGCTCTAGAAATCATGGTGCTCCCAATTGTGCCAGAAATAATATAACCAGATTAAGAATAGAAATTTTAATCTTGGGAGGATTTTAGATATCTTAGGAATCTCCAGACTATTATACGTCTCCGCTTGGCATTATAGAAGTTTTTGGAATATTATTGATCTGAATAATCTTGTTGATCTATGAAATCCTAGAATTGATTGTAGAAATCTAACTGGCATTGCAGGTTTGCTACCGAAATGATTGGTGCAGGTAAGAGAAACATTCGGTTGCTTCATGAAGAACTTAAAAAGCGTTTAAAAGACATTTTTATTTTTTATTTATTTATTTATTATCCCTCTCTTGTTCTGGGCCCTCAACAAGCTTGCGCTCAATTACACAGTGGCCCGCATAATGCTTTTGAGAGGTGCCTCTGCAGAAGGTCTTAAGTTGTTCTATACCACTCCGGTATTTACCTTACGAATTAGTAAAACTGCAGGAAAACCAGTCTTTCCATAACGAGCGACCAGAGGAGAGGGGACATTACATTCCCTTGAGTACAACCTCTGCTCGCGGCGTCAAGAAATGTTTCCGATCCCAATCTGGTTTGGACAGCTTTCCAGACCCCTTTCAGAACTTTCTAGGTCAGAAAGATTTTTAAATTGTGTAATGTTCGTTCGTTATAGAATAATTTACATTCTCCTAGAAAAGCTTTTTTATAAGGGTTTTGCTAGGTAAGCCAATATCTGTAGAAAGTGCCTGAAAAGCTAGTCAACGATATAGCAAGCTTTGTTAAGATGCCGGAAGGTCAAAGGACTGCCCCGAAAATCGCTTGTAGGGCTTACCAAAAAATTCCAGATCTTTTCTATGGTCCTTCAAGACCCCCGTATGATTTTCCTTGCCCTTTTCAGAGGAAAAAAAGCTGCTAGATATTTTTGGAAAGCGTCTAAAGGAGTTTGACGTTCACAACAGATATGTTACCAAGAGCAGAGACGAGACTAACTAAAGAATATGGGCGATTAAACGAATTTTAAGAAAATAATTGAAAAAATCCTAATTTTTGAAGAATTTGTAAATGTAGAATATCTCGCAAAATTTTAAGAATTCAACACATTTGAAAAATTTGCAGATTCTAAAGTATCCCATACGCATAAGAAAAATACGAGAACAAGAATTGAAGAAAGAAATAGAAGAAATCCGGAAAACATTAAGGTTTTGAAATCGAAATTTGAAGAATGATTTGAAGACTTTAAAGAATTGAAGTAGGAATCATAAGAATCTAAAAAACTCGAAGCGACTGAAGGGTCTGTAGTGTTAGGAATCTAAAAGATTTGATGAATTTGCAAAGTCTAAAAAATTCGAAGAAACTGAAAACACTTGAATGGATATTCAGTGTGTTAAAAAAATTATAAAATTCGAACAATTTATAATTGAAGAATGTGGGAAGGATTCGAAGTAACATTTCTAAGTATGCCGGAAATTTGAGGAAGCGAATGAATACAAGCAGAAGACTTCATCCACGAAGGTCCGAACACTAAAAAATAACCATAACCATTCGATGGCAAAGAATTTGGAGAACCGAAGGAATCCCACGTATGACTAACAGATATACCACGTTGCATTTTCCACGATACTTATTCTGTGAATGAGAGTATATAAGGCCAATAATTAAGATACCCACTTTAGCTCTAGTTACAACGACCTCTCGCCTCCAGATATCCTGAACCCATTAGGAAAACAATCCTCTACAGAAATTAAAATGTGCAGAAAGGATAATCTTCAATTCTACCAAATGCTTACAGATTTACTCCACTAATCACAAATTTATGGAAGAATCGGCCCTCTAAATTTCGACAACCTGTAAATTTTCTATAATATGCCTAACCCAGGGGTCGGCAACCTATTGAAACACAAGAACCAAAAGTTATAATTTACAAAATGTCCCAGTTTTTAAAGAGCCACTAACAATTTTCGATTCAATATTATAGTATTTAGTTATATACAGGGTCCTGCAACAGTGCGTCGGCCTTACCTAGATGATACCTGGTAAAAAATATTTAAAAATCTTTTGTGCAAATGTCAACTATAGATGGTTGCGGATTTTTTTGAATGTACAGGATGCCCATTTTTACGATGTTAATAAATAACTGATTTTTTCAAATAGAACATCCTGCATATGTTTACTTGTTTCAATGTCATTTGTTCAAAGTGCCATAACTATTATTTTTCAAATGGAACTACCACTATTTCATTTCGCTACTATATTGTCTTTTGTGTTATCTTCAATTGTTATAAGGGGTGTCCCCATAGTTTTTAGGTTATTTAATATTTTTCACTTACCCATTAATTAATTACGTGTTTATACATCGGAGTAGGCTGTGATAATAAAAAACAAAAGAATACCAGAAAGTAAACAAGTGTCACAAATTAATTATTTGCTGCAAGTGTACTTTCCATTTCGTAATAAAATAATATTAATTAAAAAGGCGATTTTCGAAAAAATGAAGAAATTTTTTTAGATAAATTCGCGAGCCGCAGGTGGGCGACCCCTGGCCTAACTTGCTCTAACCCTTGAAATCTAAAAAATTATAACATAGGGGTCACAAGGAATTTGTTATTTGTGTTTATGTTTTTGTACAAAATATACCAATGTCACGGATTTGACACTCACTTCGCAGGTGGTGTTGTTTATATTAGCACAGACAACCTATGTTGTCTGATGTTGTCTGTGATATTAGGGAGAATGTAACGGGAGCCCGCTAATACGTTTAAATTTTATCGATTGTATATATACAAGGTGAGTTTTTCCGATGTTTATACCTCCTAAAAGATCCCAAACCGATCTAAAACTTTTGCAATCTAGACATTTTTAAAGCATTACTTGTTTGACTTTCATTACGTAATTATATCAGTCTTTTAGAATAAAATGGTATAAGGAAGTATATCTAAACAACTACATAAAAATCAGATGAATGGTTTAATTATTTAAAAAAACTACGTAAAATACGAACAAGGTGCTTCATTTTAATTGGACTAAAATGAATCCGTGCGCAAAACCATTAATAATAATATTGTTACAATTAATTAAACTCGCACTCTTACACGTACTGCATAAAGTAAACATAATTCACTTTTAGCATACATTTTTGTTAGTAAAAGGAAGTAATAACTCGAAACCAGCGAAATATAAAATAAATGCTTTTTTTACAACATGAAACTGAAAGTACTGGAATTTTTATGTTTCCTTGTAGTAGGTACCTCCTAGCATAATGAAATTAACAATGATTGTCTGAAACGCCATAATTCTACCATTTTATTGATTTGCACAAATCGTTAACTGCATCTATCTTCATTGTACAGTTACACTACGTAATTACATAAAACATGTGGAAGTCGCAAGTTTATCTATTTGTTTATAAATTGCCCCTTTGCTCATTCCTTGCGAAATGTCAATCTGGATCAATGGTTCTGTTGAAAAGCTTTGCTTCTGGTTTCTTAATGGAGAATATGCAATTGAAGATCAATTATGGATGTGGAGGTCAT